CCAAAATATGGTGGTGGGAAGGTGTAATGGTGGTGGGATTGGTGTTTGAATATTAAATGTAATCAAATATGGTGAACTACTTTATAAAATTAAAAAAATTTATAAAGGTAAGTGGGATGGAGAAGAGACCACTAAGTAAATGATGGTTTGGAGGGATCGCTTGGGATGGTGGATGCGTGCTGAAAGTAGGGTATGGACCAAACATGATAGCTGTTTAGTGCCTGTATTACAAACCATAACACCCAAAAGAAGAGAGAGAGTAAGAGAGAATGCGCCTGCCACAGAGGCAGGGGGTGGGAAGGGGTGGGGGTGGAGGGAGGGATACTGGGAACATTGGTGGTGGAGAATGGGCACTGGTGGAGGGATGGGTACTCGAATATTGTTTGACTGAAACGTAATCACAAAAATTTGTAAGTCTATAACTGTATCTCATGATAATTCATTAAAGTAAAAAATAATTTTTTTAATTTTTAAAAAAGAAATACTCGGCACTTAAAAAAAAAAATAGAGAGAGAGAGAGAGAGAGGCTGGTGCAATAGCACAGCAGGTCTGGCGTTTGCCTTGCAAATGGCTGACCGGGGGTGCGATTCCCAGAATCCCATATGGTTCCCTGAGCACTGCCAGGGGTGATTTCTGAGAACAGAGCCAGGAGTAACCCCTGTGCATCACTGGGTGTGACCCAAAAAGCAAAAAATAAATAAATAAATACACACATATACACACACACATACATATATATATGTATATATGTAGGGCACAGGGAGGTGGCTCGACTGACGAGCACTTGCTTTTCATGTGTGGGGCCCACAGTTCAATTCCCAGTGCCACAATACTTTTTGTTTTTAATTTTTTAGTTTAAAGAAATCAGAGGTACAGCGGGAGGTGAAAGAAGGGAGGAGAGCACTAAACTCACGGTAGTGGCTGACGCTGAGATGTGGAGGGAGAGAAAATTTCCATCAAAATATATTTCAACTTTTCTGTCATGTTCTATTTCTTTTACGTAGAAAGAAAAATATATTAACATATTGATACCTATGAATTCTGAAATCCAAGAAGGTGGATGTTCGTTATATAGTCTCTAAAACTGTATTTTTTCACAAAATAAAAATCTCTTCTCTCACAGCAATAAAAAACAGAAGGGAGGAGAGGTGGAGAGGGATGTGAGGAGCAGAGGGATAAGGAGAGGTGAGAGGTCAAGGGAGAGGAGAGGGGAGGAGGGAGGAGGGAGGAGCAAGCGGTGGAGCAAGGTCAGAGGGGAGGGAGAGCCCGAGGTGAGGCCTGAGGAGGTGAGGGGGGGAGCGACAGGACAGCCTTGCGCATGCTCCACCCGGGCTCAGTGCCCAGCATCTCATCGGGTCCCCCGAGCCCACCAGGAGGCATCCCTGAGCACTGCTGCTGTGGTCCAGAGCATCACAAGAGTGAGGAAAGGTGACGCTGCCTGGGGGCCTCGGAGCCTGGGCCCAGCACCGAGCCAGTGACCACTGTCCTGACCAGCCCGCAGTCCCATGGCCCACCTCTACTGGGCCGGCCCTGCTCTGCCAAGACCTTCATGGTGAAGCGAGAAGTGGGATGATATGAGGCAGGAGAGGGGCTGGTGCTCCTGCTCCTCCCTAGAGATTTGACTTCTCTGTAACTGTGGTAAAAATGTCCCCGACCTCAAAAAGCAAAAAAAAAAGAAAGGAAGGCCTGGAGTGATAGCACAGCGGGTAGGGCATTTGCCTTGCACGCAGCCAACCCAGGTCCGATTCCCAGCATCCCATATGGTCCCCTGAGCATCGCCAGGGGTAATTCCTGAGTGCAGAGCCAGGAGGAACCCCTGTGCTTCGCCGGGTGTGACCCAAAAAGGAAAAAAAAAAATGACCCCGACCCAACAAGGAAGTTCATCTCTTTCTCTTTGGCAGTGGGGGAGGGGGTTGTAGGCACACCAGGCAGCGCTCAGGGCTTATGCCCCTGGCCCTGCGCTCACTCAGGGATCACTCCTGGCAGGGGTCGGGCAACCTTACGGGGTGCTGGGGAATCAAACCCAGGCCGGCGGAGTGCAAAGTAAGCCCCCTCGCCCCAGCCCGTCCACATGAGCCGCGTCCAAGGTGGGTGAAGTAGCTTCAGAATGCTACACAAGGCAGCTCCAGAGGTGTTTTATCTGGCAGAGCTGAAACGCTGCACCCAGGAAACACTCCACGCCCACTGCCTTCCTGCTGCCGGCCTCTGAGGGACGCACGAGATGGCACCAAGGGCTAGCTAGAGGACTGGCCTGGCCGACACAGGGTCCCGGGTTCAAGCCGCAGCACCGCTGAATAGAGCCCCGGGTGGCCCCACAGCACTTGGGAAGAAGGCCCACCTGCAAACAAAACCGAGAACTGGGGGTTGCTCCTGGACTCACCCAGCAGGTGGCTTTTGGAGGCGGTTGACTCCAAGGAGCACCCCTGTCGGAGTTCAGCCTATCACAGACCATCAAGTAGCCATATTTGGGTTTCTGGTTTGGGGGTTTTTGTTTTGGTTTGGTTTGGGTTTGTTTGTTTTTGTCCCTGGGCCACACCCGATGGTGCTTAGGACGTACTCCTGGCTCTGCGTTCAGGAACTACTTCCTGCCAGTGTTCAGGGGACCATATGAGATGCTGGGGATCAAACCTGGGTCAGCTGCCCTACCCGCCGTACCATCACTCCGGCCCCTCAAGTGTCCTGGTGAAAGCAGGAAAAATAACACCACCGTCCACACACACCACATCTTGAGCCCGCATCCCGCCCACCCTGCAGAGGCATCAAAGACCTTCCGGACCACAGGCTTGCACGGGCCCTGGGGGAGGCGTAGGACACACCTGGACCCGCTCTTCCCGGCCCTTCTCCCAGTGGGCTGCACTGGCACCCGTGGAAGTATGTTTTCACTAAACTGGGTAGCGACCCCCACCCTGCTCAGTCTTTGAAAGGCGCCAACCACCAGGAAAACTGCAGTGGCCAGAGCTACTCGGGTCTGTGCATTCCGGGAAGCCGCCCCAGCAGAGGGGTCCGCATGCAGGTGCAGTAGACCGGGCCAGGCCGAGAGTCGCTGCTCAACTTGGCAGCTCCTGGGAGAGTTAACAGTTCACCCCCGTCTCTGGGGTTCTGCCTGGCTTCCCCCGGAAATGGGCTTCAGGAGCTGGTCTGTTGTGTCTGTGGGCGAGCGGGCGCGCGGGCGGGCTGTGTCCCCCGAACTCTGAAAGCACCCCGGTAAGCAGCCTCCTGCAGGCTTTCTGGCTCCAGCCTAATCCAGCACCCTGAAGATGATGATGGGCTCCTTCCGCAGGCCCAAACAAGCGCCCAGAGAACAAAGGAGGAAGCCAGGAGGGTTTCCAAAGAATCCCTAAACACTGGGAACAACCTGCCCATCATCAGGCCACCAGGGCCTGCCCCGGGCCACCTGTGCCAAGTCACCAGCCTGGGAACCCTCTCGCTTGTCCATGCCACCTGGACCGCCCTGCATGCCTGCAGGGGCCAGCAGGGCGCCCACCCCCCGGCACCCGCCTCTGGGAACCCTGCCCACCCTGATTTCCCCTTCCTCCTCACCCTTCCTCTGCTCACGGGGGGGTGCAAGGGCGGGTCTGTCTCCCCTCGAGGCCCAAGGAACCCCTACCCTCCCACCAGGGCCAGCTGGACCCCAACCAGCCAAGCTGACCCTGTGCTCACCGCTTCCCTTTCCAGAAATCTCTCTTCTCCCTCCCAAGCCCTCAAGGGGCACCGACCTTCCCCGCTCGGCCTCTGACCATCACCGAGCAAACGCAAACCCAGCAGCCACAAAGCAGCGACTCCCCGACCGACGTCCCCTGGGTCGGCTGCTGGGCGTCAGCCCGGGTAGGGGCTGACTCACTCCCTGATATCGCTGCCCCTCGGGGCTCACAGCGGTGCCTTTCAACCCAGCATTCACAGGGCGCTGCCCGCCACGCCCCTTCTCTCATCCCCCCCATGCCCACTCCAGTCCCTGAGAGACAGGTCAGAGCCAAGGAAGGTCACGGCAGCAGCTGTGGACGGTAAAGCAGGAATGAAAGTCAGGACCAGGTCGGTCCCTCAAAGGGCCTCCCAGAGCCGGAGAGAGAACAGTGGGGCAGCCGACGTGGGCTAACCCCCCCACCCCCCATCAACCACACACGGCATCACCAGGAGTAAAGCCTGAGCACCGCGGGGTACAGCCCAAAAGCCAAGCATATACATAGTCACTGTCACTGTCCTTCCGTTGTTCATCGATTTGCTCGAGCGGGCCCAGTGACATAGTGAGACTTGTTACTGTGTTTGGCATATGGAATATGTCACGGGGAGCTTGCCAGGCTTCGCCATGCGGGTGAGATACTCTCGGTAGCTTGCCAGGCTCTCTGAGAGGGGCGGAGGAATCGAACTCGATAATAATAAATAAATCAATCACGATCATCCTGTTGTTCGTCCATTGCCTCAAGCAGGCACCAGTAACGTCTCCTTCGTCCTAGCCCTGAGATTTTAAAAAGTGCCATATTTAAGGCTCTTTCAGGGTTAGGAGAATGAGACCCATCATTGTTACTGGTTTTGGGCAGATTGGGTATGCCACGGGGAGTTTGCCAGACTCTGCCGTGTGGGCAGGTAACATTCGGTAGCCTGCCAGGTTGTCCAAAGAATGATATAATAAGATGTCTGGGAGCTGGGTTTTACAGTCTCTGGGTCTTGGCTGTCGATGGGCTTACATGGCGCCCATAAATAAATAATAAATAAATAAATAAATAAATGGGGCTGGAGCAGTCGTACAGAGGGAAGGGCACTTGCCTTGCCTGCAGCCAATCTGGGTTCCTCCCCCACACCTATATGGTTCCCGGAGTCAGTAGGAAGCCCTGGGGACCACCAAGTATGGCCCTCAAACCAAAACAAATAAACACATAAATGGGTGTCCCAGCCCAATGGAGAGGATGAGCTGAAATGGAGTGGAAAAACTCAGCTGTGAAGCACAGAGAACAAGTGAGAAACCCTGAGAGAGATGCAAGCTGGCCCAGGGGTGATGGAGGCACCAACGGGGATGATGGAGGCACCAACGGGGATGATGGAGGCACTGACCGGGATGATGGAGGCACTGACCGGGATGATGGAGGCACTGACCGGGATGATGGAGGCACTGACGGGGATGGAGGTGCTGACAGACATAATGGGAGTGTCCAAAGGGACGATGAAGGGGCTGACTGGGACGATGGAGGCGCTGACACAGATGACAGCACACAGATTCAAGAGTCACTTCCTCCCCTCATGTGTGAGAATTCAGTGCCCGGCTCCAAATCCTCTCAGCCTCACTCCTAGCCAACTCAACCTACACACAGGTCATGCACCCCAAAGTCTTCACCTACATTCCGTATCCATCATGACATCCACAGCTACACCCTCCCTTGGGGCCGCACCCAAGACCAAAACCAACCCCTTCAGACCCCTCCCCAGCTCAGCTCATGCACCTGCTCCAGGAGCATCTCCGGGTCTCCCTTCCCCCAGTCACCCCTCTCCCACCCAGCCCGAGTCTACCCAGCACCCTTTATGCCACACCTTGCCGACTCCTGGTTCCCAGGGCTCCTGACCACGCCTGCCGGGTTCCCCGCCCCCACTCAAGCCACTCACTCTCCCTGGCCACACTTGGGAATGCCCGACGCTTCGGGACAAGATCAAACGGCGTGTGCACGCGTGTCACCACCCCTGCCTCACTCAGCCCTCCCACACGCGACTCCCATCCCTGCCTCAGACACGGCCTCTCCCCAACCCTTCGCAAGGCCTGTCACGGTCACTTCCTTGGCGAATCATCTCCCTGTTGCTTCTCTTTGTTCAACTTTCTGCGACTGCTGGTCGCCTCACTGACTCTTCCCTGAAGCCTATAAACAGGACACATCTGACACGCACTTTGAAACCTCCACTGTCCCCCACTGACCTGAGGTTACTGGGAGTCACTCCCACTTCGCCGGGGAACGCTTCAGACGACAAATCCTCCTGTGTGACCCACTTCAGCAGGTGCAGCTTGGTCCAGAGTCGGGTTTCTGAACGAGGAGAACTCGGGGTGGTCCTGCTCAGAGGGCTGTACCCCATCCTTGGACAATCCACTGGAGGCGAATCCCTCCCCTACCTAAGAACTGGCCTGCCATGGCCTTCCCAGGACTGCCTGTGACCTGCAGCTCCCCCTTCCGTCCCTCTGTCCTGAACGTCACTCTGCTGGGTCAGTCCAGGGCCTTCCAGCTCTGTGATCTCAACTGCCACAAAACGTACCCACTGAGCCCATCACTTTTGGTCTTTTGTGTCACTTCTGCATAGCTCACCACACCCGACTCCTGACTCTGCCCTCGGGATCACTCCTGGTAGGGCTAAGGGGACCTTAGGTGGTGCCGGGAATCGAACCCAGGTCAGCCTTGTGCAAGTAAGTGCCCTCTGCTGTCTTTGGCCCCCCCAAGTCCCACCAGCCAGGGCAGGGGTGGGGTGCTGGGAGCAGAGTCCTGAGGGAGGGCAGGACAACCCAAAGCACTTCAGGGTTGGCGGCACAAGCAGGAGGGCAGCGCGTTAGTGACCGAAAAGCTGCTTCAACACCCGGAGCAAGATGAACAATGAGCGCCGGGTCACACACGGCTCAGGACAGGAGCAGAGAACCCGCGAGTCCCCACTGCACCCGGTGCCACCGCATGGCAGACGTGTCTCACGTGCAGAAACATATTCACTCCAGAGCCCCCTGGGCTGGCTCAGGCCCCCCACAATCCCACACACTTACCCCAGAAGACCCGAACAAGAGGTCCTGCCCTGTGCCCAGGGGCCCCGAAACCCTGGGCAGGGACCGGGGCCCTGTGCAACTACTTTACCAACAAGGTGATGCTCAGGACCAAACCCCTAACTCATCCCGACTGTCTGGAGAGAAGAGACAAAGGAACAGAGGGACAGAAGGGTGCGTCGGGGGCACAGGGCAGGAGGGACCAGCAGTGCCAGAGCCAACAGTACAGTGGGCAGGACATTTGCCTTGCACGCAGCCAACCAGGGTTCAAGCCCCAGCATCCCATATGGTCGCCCAAGCCCTGCAAGAAGTGATCCTTGACTGCAGAGCCAGGAGTCAGCCTGCGGCACTGCTGAGTGTGGCCCCAAAACAAACCAGAATGGACAGCGATGGTTAGCCTGCAGTGGGCAGCGATGGTCAGCCTGCAGCTCGGCAGGTCACAGGTCACTCATGTCACAGGGCAGTGAGACTGACACCCCCACCACGGGTCGTCGCCCCCCCCCCCCCCGCCCCACCTAACCCAGGGGCCCGAACTTGCGGTTGGACAGTCCCAGAAAGTGCTCAGCAGGAACACAACACCCTCGGGTCTGCCCAATGTGGTCCCCGACCGCTTCCAGGAATGGTGGGTACCCCCCGCTGGGAACCACCCAGCGCCTTCTCCGGCCTTCTCCATAGCCCATAGCGCAGTCCCAGTTGGGAGCGGCAACAACCTGTCGCGAATCTAATTAGCGTCTTGAGCGCCTCTAGAGCCCAGGTCTGAAGAGTTGGCAGCTCCGGCTCCCCGCAGCGCTGGGGGGGGGAAGGGGGGAGGAACTTTCCAGGCCCAGGCAGGGTCGAGTGGTGAGTCTCCAGAGCACAGGGCTCACCTGCCTCCCCCAGACTAGGCAGCGCTGAGAGAATCGGACTCCTTCCCAGCTCACGATTTTAGATCAACTGTTCTCACAGCCCAAAGCAAGGTATTACCAGATAGAGTGGCCAAATCCTATTACTGCCCCCGACTGGGCTTCTCCTATCTGGGTCAGTGGTTCCTGCGCTTAAAAGGGCCCAGAAGTCAGGTGTGAAGCTGAGAACCATGAAAGATACCCAGTCCCAGCCCCCACCCCCGCCAGCAAAGAGTTGAACATCAGTCAAGGGGGAGAAATCTTGGCCAGAATGATAGCACAGCAGGGAGGGTGTTTGCCCTGCATGTGCCCAACCCAGGTTCAATCCCCAGCATCCCATAGGGTTCCCAGAGCATCCCCAGGAGTAATTCCTGAGTGCAGAGCCAGGAGTAACCTCTAAGCATCGCCAGGTATGGCCCAAAAAGAAAAAAAACGGGGGGGGGGGGGGTGTTGTTGGGGGGAGAAATCTAACTTGGTGACTGGGACCCTACCCTGACCCCTATGATGTCTATATCTGACTCTTGAAACATAACTCTAAGTGCTTACAGTCTACAAAACCATGAGTCATCTCAAAATGCATAATAGTAAAATAGATTAAAGGCCCTACATTCCCCAGCCCCTGGCACAGGAAAGGAGTTAAGGTGCTTGCCTTGCTGGGTGTGGTCCAAAAAGCCCCTCTGAGTAATAATAAATAAAATAGAGACAGACCAAGTAAAATATAAACTTGACCTTCCTTAAGCATAAACCAGGAGACACCACTTAAAAAGAGGAAAGCGAAAGGGCAGAGTGTGTTAGTCACAATAACCCCAAACTTCAGCCTCTGGGCATGACATAAAACTTCAGAGCAAACCCACTGGGAGGAGGGTATATGTAACACCCAATATGCCTGATGATCTCTTTGCAAGGGGTTATATCCATCCCCAGGAACAGGCAAACGAACCAAGCAGAAAATTCACAGACTACAAAAATAAATAGAAAATTCAAAGGCAATGCAAAGGCCATGTAAACGTTAAAGAAATCAGGTACAAAGGGGTTTAACAAGACATCTGTAAAGAAGAGACACAGTCTGGGCTGATGACAGGAACCTCATTAACACTCCTTGAGGGCCTCCTCACATGGTGGTTTGAAAGAAGTTGATTCAGGGGCAAGAGTGGTAGGTAGAAGCAGGTAGGATGCTCGCCTTCACACAGGCACCCCAGACGGCTCCCGGCCACAGAGCCACGAGAAAGCCCTGAGCACCGCCGAATGCAGCCCTGTAGCACAGTGGCACTGTCTTCCCGTTGTCCATCGATTTGCTCGAGCAGGCCCAGTAACGTCTCCATTGTGAGACGTTGTTGTCACTGTGTTTGGCATACCGAATATGTCACGGGGAGCTTGCCAGGCTTTGCCGTGCGGGTGAGATACTCTCGGTAGCTTGCCGGGCTCTCCGAGAGGGGCAGAAAAATCGAACTCGGGTCAGCCGGGTCGGCCACATGCAAGGCAAAGGCCTTACCCACCGTGCTATCGCTCCAGCCCTAAATGTAGCCCTAACGGGCAAGAAGAAGAAAGCTGATTCCCTCCAACCATCATTCCTGAGCCCCCTTACACTAACCTGACAGAAAGCAGAAACGCGTCTAAGAATGGGGCCTTATACTTCCCCACATACCAACTTCCCTTCTAGCAATGCATACCAAACCACACATGCACAAAAAGACACGCAAAGCCTCATCAACATGCGAGTCATTGTGGCATTATTTATAACAAAATAGCTGGAAATAATAAAAGAATAATTGCATAAATTATTAGGATGGAAAATTGAGGTTTCAATATTTAATGCATTAGGCAATGCTAAAGCTAAACAGAGTGAAAACGGTGGCAAATTACAATTGTGCATACAATTAAATTTTTGGTTTTTTTGAATGTCACCAAAAAAAAAAAAAAAAGGAAGGCAACACGATGTTTGTTTCTGTTTGGGGGCCCCACCCACCTATGCTTAGGCATTACTCCTGGGACGCACTCAGGGATTAGGGAACCACCTGGGTCGAAGAACCGGGTCGCTGCATGAACGCAAGTGCCCTCCCGGCTGTACTATCTCTCCAGCCTCTGGATCATGTTATTTGGGGTCCCTATTTCTGCACCTTTCAATAATCTCCTCTTTGCTGTAATCAACTTCATGAGAACGGTGATTTTAAGGAAGACTCGGTTCTGAAAAAGAAGAAGAAATGGGGCACGATTCTTCCTTTTGGGGGGCCTTTTAAAGGGTGCTCCAGAGACTTGGGGACCCCCACTGGCAATTCTCGGCCAACCGAACCAGCAGCTCAATGAATGGCCCAGCCCTGTGGTGCTGGCAATACCTTGGCAGTGCTGAGGGTGCCCAGGAATGCGCCCTGCGATGCTCAGGGAGTCACAGGGTGAGGCCCCTGATTGCTGTACTACCTCCGAGCCCCAGTTCTTTCTTTGAACATACGGGGTGTACCATCTCCCACACGCAAAAGCAAATCCAAGGTATCACAAGTTGTTTCCACAGAGCGAACCAGCAGGGACAGAGAGTACAGTGGCGAAGGCACTTTCCCGGCATGCAGCCAACCCAGGTTCAATCCCCATCACCACAGATGGTCCCCAGAGCCCCACCAACCAGGCGTGATCCCCGAGCCCACAGCCAGGAGGAAGCCTGAGCACAGCCAGGTGTGGCCCCGAAACAGACCACAAAAAAAGAGTGAAGCATCAAGGCCAAACTTAGTAGTTTGTTTAGCGTTTAAACAAACACAAAAGGGCAGCAGATGATCATGGGAACACAAACTGAAATAAATAAATAAACAACTGGAGAGAGGGTGAGTTCTCCCAGAGAGAGCCTGGACAGGGGGCGGGTTCTCCCACAACTGCAGGAGGGCCACAAGCCTATCCCAGGAATTCCAAACCAGGATTGTAGCAGGGAATTGCCGCTAACCCAGGAAAGAGGGCCACGGGCACGGGGTTCAGCCCAACCACTCCCACCTGCTAGGACCCAGTAGCAACAGCAGGGCCAGCGTGCAGAAGACTCACAGGACCATCAGCTGAAAAAAAAAAAAAAGCCTCTTCCCAAGCACGGAGTCCCACCTTTGAGAGCCTGCAAGAGGTCTTCCTAGACAAATCCAGGGGTCCCGCCCACTGTGAACACGCCCTGCGACCCAGTGGGTGTTTGCTTGAGCTGTGCTGGGTGGCTTCCTACAGCTGCCACTGCATCCCCCACCCTGAAACACAGGCCCGAGGCACAAGCATGAGAGAATTCCTGCCTTGCATAGGGTCAATCTGGGCTTGCTCCCTGGCATCCCTTACGGTCCCACCAGGAATAAACCCTGAGGGCCGGAGCAATAGCACAGTGGGTAGGGCGTTTGCCTTGCACACAGCCAACCCAGGTTCGATCCCCGGCATCCCATATGGTCCCCCAAGCACCACCAGGAGTCATTTCTGAGTGCAGAGCCAGGAGTGATCCCTGAACATTGCTGGGTGCGACCCAAAAGGCAAAAACAAAAAAAAGAAAGAAACTCTGAGCACCACCAGGTACGCCCCCTGCATCCCCGCCCCCCTCCAAAAAAAATAAATAAAGAGCAACTCTTCTGCCCCTGTGATGTGAGTTCTAGAGCAAAATAGAACTTAATTTCCTCTCTCCCTGCAGAATATTTGTATTGGGAGTAGCAGAGAAATAGGGAGAGAAAGCTGGAAGTTGGAGGGATAGTACAGCGGGTAAGGCGTTTGCCTTGCATGCAGCCGACCCAGGTTTGAGTCCCGACACTGCCTGGTCCCCCAAGCACTGCCAGATCCCCCCAAGAACAGCCCGGGGAGTAGCCCCCAGCACTAACCACTGAAAAAAGAGACAGGCTGGGGTGCAGGCTTAGCACACACAGGGCCCCAAGTTCAATCCTCAGCACTGCATGGTCCCCTGGGGAAGCCCTGGTGGCCCCCAACACTGCTGGGGAGCCCCCGATCACAAAATACCTTTAATAAAAACAAATATCTTTGAAATGCACTAAAACAAATGCACTAAAACTAAAACAAATAATAAAGATTTTTTTATCTTTAATAAAAACACAGGTTTCTGTGGGAGGACCACACACACACACACTGTCCAGTTCAAAGTGACCAGTACAACCTCCGCAGCAGACCCAACAGCCAGCAAGGCTGGGGTATCCGGAGCTTACCGACCTCTAGTCCTAGGACACAATAGTTCCCATCTGTCAAGTGGGACTAAGAATACCTCGGACACCAGCGGCAGCTGTGTCGGCAAAGGCAACACCTGGCACCCTGACACACTCGGTGGAAAGACAGTGTGCCGCGGTCCTCACCAGCCCCGTCGTTAGGATCCACCGGGGTTCTCAGAGCACCCTCGGTGAGGTTGTCTCACACAAAGCCTGGTGTCTTCTCGGGACGGACACACAGCCCGGCCCGCGGCAGGAGTTGGATGCAGGCCTGAAGTTCTCTGCACCATCTACACCCTCTCAACTTCAGTGGGACCCCCCAAGGCCGGGCTGCACAGGAGGGGGGGGGGCCTCTCAGTTGTACGTGGGCCCGCTGCAGTGGGGAAGGAAGAAGTGAAGAAGTGACCGCCAACTAGCCTGTGACCTTGAGCAGGCCCTGTGCTGGCCTCTGCCCGGTTCCCCTTCCATAAGCAGGAAGGTTCCATCCTTGGAGTCAGGGACCCTGCCCCAATTTCAAATGCCCTGTCACCTGCTCAGCCCTGTCTAATGCCCACTGTGAGATCTGAGGACACCATTCCATGCGCCCCTCACCATACCCTTGCCCAAGTTAGTGGCCAGTGGCCAGTACTCTGCTCCCATGAGCCAGAGGGCCTGGAGTGTGTGTGTGTGTTTGCGTGTCTGTGTGTCTGTGTGTATCTCTGTGCGTGTATGGGGGAGGCGGGGTGAGCTCTCCTCTCTCTCCCCGGACCCCCTCAAGGTTGGGGCAACAACACACACTGGGCTGTCCTCCGGCCCTCAGCCAGCTCAGGTGGACAAATAAACATTTCAGAGAAGCAAGAGGAATCAAGTCATTTCCTAACCACAAAACCCGCCCCCGTACCTTCTCCAAAAGGAAAAAAAAACCATGCCTGTTAATTTCATGAGGATGAACAGGCTAAAAACAGCCCCGACTGGACTGCTAGCTTCCCGGGAGGGGGACCCCCCTCCCCAATCCCCCCGGCACTTGAGAATCCCAGTCTTTCCACACTCCATTGTACTCCTAATGCCTGTGCAGAAGTAACAGCGATAGCTGCTTCCCTGGAAAGACCCAGGGCCGGGCGCTTTCCAAGAGATGTTCTTTGAGTGTTCTTTGTGTCCTGGTTGCACTGGGAAAGGGGGTGGCGGTGGTGGGGGACTGGGCCGGCCCGCCCGCCTGCACCTGGGGGCCGAGGGGGCGCGGGGCTAGAGGCGAGCAATGCAATCAACAGTGCTGGGAAGCACACGCGCGCGCACACACACACACACGCACACGCCCCGGGTGGCCCCCTTCCCACAACAATAAAGTATCCCGAAACGAGGCACGCACCGAGCCGAGGAGAGCCGCCCGCCTTGCGCAGGGCCACTGAGGGCAGGCGGGGCGCGGGGCCGGCGGGGTCCCGGGAGGAGGCGCCGGCTCGGGGGTCGCGCTCCCCGCGCGCCCCGGGGTGCTGGGCCCGCGGCGGGGACTTACCTGGGGCGCACGGCGCGGGCCGGGCCAGCAGCAGCAGCAGCAGCAGCGGCGGCGGCGGCGGCAACCGGAGGCCGGGCGGCGGCGGCGGCGGCGGGCGGCGGGCGCGGCGGGCGGAAGGCCCGGGGCCGAGCGGCGCGAGCCCGGCGCGGGGCGGCCGGGCCATGGCCACGCGCCTGCCCGGCGGCTCGCGGGGCTCCGGGCTCGGGGCTCGCGGGCCGGGGCCGGGGCGCCGCGGCGAGGCGGGGGCCGGCTCGGGGGGACCTCGGGCCGCGGGGCGCCGCACGCCGGCCTCGCCGCTCCGCCCCCTCCGGAGCCGGGAGCCGCTGCCCGGCAACGCGCGGGCCCGGGCGCGGGGCGGCGAGCTCCACCTCCCGGCCGGCCGGGCGAGCGGGCGGGCGGGCGAGCGGGCGGGCGGGCGGGCGGGCGCTGCCTCCGCCCCGGGGACCCCCCGCGCGCCGGGCTGGGCGCCCCGGGCGGGCCGCCCCCTGCTCGCCGGCCCGCACGTGGCCCGGGGCCTGCGCCCGCGGGGGGACAAAGCCCGGCCGGGCCCGGCGGAGCGAGCGCCCCGGGGCCGAGGAGGAGGAGGAGGAGGAGGAGGAGGGGAGCGCGCGGGGCGCGGGCCGGACCCGCAGCGCCCCGGCACGGCACCCCCGCGGCGCCCCGCCGCCCCGTCCCCCGCGCTCGCCAAGTCGCCGGGAACAATGAGCAAAAGTGCCGCCGGAGCCGGGGAAGGGGAGTGAACGGGTGGTCGGGGGCGCGCCCGGCGGCCGACTCCGGAGATCACCCCCGCCACCCCCACTCCACCCCCGGGGTTTCAAGGTCTGGCAACGCGGAGGCGGCCCTGGGGGGCTCTTGGCATCCGCTGGCGCGTCTTGGCAGCGCGGTGGGTTCTTTCGATGCGAGGCGCTGGCACTCCGGCTAAATGCCCGGGAAGGAAGGGGCTGTGGACAGAAGTGCGAATCTTCTGGAAAGACCCCCACGTTGTTCTCCAACCTGGTTTCCCCCCTCCCGCCCTCTCCAGCGAGGCCCACTGGGGCGAGGCTGGGAGTCGGCACCAGGGCCGGCAAGTAGATGGGTGCGGGGCTCCCTGGTCTCTTACACACACACACACACACACACACACACACACACACACACACACACACACACCAGCCTCCCCGACGGAGATGGCCCCCAAATCTGGTGGAGAAATCTCTCCGTCCCTGCTCCCTGCAGTACCAAGGAAGATGGTTGGGGAAACGGCCAAAGCGCTTTGGACCCTCATTTTGACCCTACGTTGGTCTGTCCTTGTTCGTCCCTGTGTCCTCGCCTACCTTCCATCAACGGAGGGTTGGGACCCACTGGGCCTCCTCCAGATACAAACCCGTGAGTTCCTGCCCTCAGGTCTGGATCTCATCCGCAGGCCATTCTGCAAAATCCCCACGTAGGTGCGTAGGTGCGATGGGGAGGTGCGATGGTTTGACCACAGACCGCTGCCCTGGGCGGGTGAATGTTTCAATTGTCTTGTCCTGCTTGTGCTATTATCTATTATCAATGTTGGCTTTGCCTCTGCAGCCACATGAAGTCTCAGGGGGTTCCCATAGCACCCCCCCCAGTAGTCCCTCCTGATGCATTTGTGGAGTTGAACTTGCAGGTGGGGCTCCCACCTCCAGTCACCCCACCCCTACCCTGACACTGGAACCCCAGAGATTCTAACCCAGGAAGACTCCCCTCTGGGCGCTCGGCCAGTCCAAGAAACAGGAAATGTTTGTCCAGCCATTAAGAAGGAATTGACATCACTTAGCAATAAAAGCCACAACTTGAAGATAGTAGAAATGACTCAAGGTCACAACTCTTAAGGAGAGTGAAATCCCCAGGGAACCTCCGTGGCCTTGCTCTGCGGGCACAAGTGGGTGTCCCTGATGCTGTGATTTAGAGCTTTCTGCCTCGGGAGTTAAAAAAATGTCTCCCAGGGCTCAGTGGTACAGGGTGTGTGTGTGTGTGTGTGTGCGTGTGTGTGTGTGTGTGTAGGGCACACACTTTCCCCCACATAAAAGAACCTGATACATATTTATGTTTGAGAAGGGGTTAAGATTGCATCAGTGATGCAATGCAATAAATCTAGTGGCCATATTTAAGCACCCACCTGTTAGTGCTCTGAGAGGAAGGGATGCTGACGATCTTCCCATTCAATTCTCATCATATGAAGAAACAAGCTGGGGGACGGGGGCATAGTACAGCAGAGAGGGCGCTTATGTGCCAGCAGCTAAGACAGAAGGAAAAAAAGGAAAAGAGAGGAGAGAAGGAAGGAAAGGAAGGAAGGAAGGAAGGAAGGAAGGAAGGAAGGAAGGAAGGAAGGAAGGCCTCAGTGATGGTACAGCAGGCAGGGCACTTGCCTTACATGCCGACAACTTGGGTTTGATTCCCAGCATCCCATATGGACCCCTCAGCACCACCAGGAGAAATTCCTGAGTGCAGAGCCAGAAGCAACCTCTAGGCATCGCCAGGTCAGCCTCCCTACACCCCCCTAGAAAAAGAAAGAAAGCTAAAGAGGACATATATATATATATATAGCTTTATATACCCAACTGGAATTCTTTTCTCCTATTTTCCAGTTTAACCTAACAACCCTTTGGGGAGAACAAACCTCACCTGGTCCTCCAAAGGCATCTATCTAGTTTAGGGTCTGGGCCACATAGAAGCCGTCCACCCTTAGTCTAGGCATTTATGAGGCCTGGCATGCCAGCTTCCCACCTCCACCCCCGAAAGGCCTTCTCCAACAGTTCCTCTCCTCACAGAACAAGTTGTGCTAAGAGCCAAAGAGAGACGCACCAAGAACACGTGTGTCCCCCCCCCCCCCCCCCCCCGTGCTCAGACGTCTAGAGCCCCAGGGTCCCCCGCCCGCTAGGCCGCAGGTGCATTTCTGGGGCTTGTGTGACCTCTTCCTCCTGCAGCTGCTGTATGGTTCGCCAGATGTGAGCAGGGAGTGCTGCGACCTAGACCTGCAGGAAGCCAGGGAGTGAAGCCAAAAGCCAAGTGGGAGAAGAAAGTGGCACCAGCTCCAAGTTCCTGCAGCTGCTCAGACACCATCTTCCATGGAGTTCAAATTCCACCTCCAAACCAAAACACTCTTTTTTTTATTTTATTTTTTGCTCTTTTTTTTTTTTTTTTTTGCTTTTTGGGTCATCCCTGGTGATGCTCAGTGATTACTCCTGGCTCTGCATGCACTCAGGAATTACTCCTGGGGGTTCTTGGGGGACCATATGGGATGCTGGGAATCGAACCTGGGTTGGCCGCGTGCAAGGCAAATGCCCTACCCGCTGTGCTATTGCTCCAGCCCCAATACCTGCCTATTTTTTAAATAGCTTCACATAATGATCACACACCATCTTTTCCCCCCTCTCCACCCAAATGGCATATAATCTGCAGTGGTTATGCCATAAATGCTGTAAGCACCGGTAAGCTAGACTTTAAAGAGACGGCTTCTCTTCTAATTTTTGTCTCCTGTTATTTTGCTTTTGTTTTGCAGGGGATCAAATCCCAGTCTCATGGATGCAAGACATGCATTTTACTGCTGAGTCATATCCTGGCACTTGACTTCTAAAACAAAAAGACAGCAGGTAAGGGGTTGGCCTTGGGTTGGAGCGATAGCACAGCTGGTAGGGCATTTGCCTTGCATGCGGCCGACCCAGGTTCAATTCCCAGCATCCCATATGGTCCCCTGAGCACCACCAGGAGCAATTCCTGAGTGCATGAGCCAGGAGTAACCCCTGTGCATCGCCTGGTGTGACCTAAAAAAAAAAAAAAAACCGGGGGGAGGGGTTTGGCCTTGCATGTAGTTGACCTGGGTTCAATTCCCGGCACCCCATATGGTCCTCAAGCCCTGGCAGGAGTGATCCCTGAGCACAGACCGGAGTTGGGTGTGGCCCCAAAACAAAAACAAGTGAAACAGAAAGATAGATGGTGCTTAAAGAAAGTTAGGAGAGAAATGAGGAAAGGACTTTGCAGTGGAGCAGGACTCAGGTATCAGGCTAAAGGGTCTGGACTTCCTTTTGTAGGCGCTGGAGGTATCATTAAGGATTTTGGAGATATTATTAGACAAAAGCACAAGAAGTATTACCCTATTAACAATATATAAGATGATTCGAAGAGAAAAAGGACTGCAACTGAAGAGACAAATTAGGACAAGGCCTGTGAGCATGAACATGAAGTATCAAGTAGAGCATTTCCCACTGTTAAATAGGCAAAAGTGGATTTTCAAAAAATTATTATGTTCGTTTGGACCAGAGTGTGGGGAAATAGATTCTCTCGGATATTTCTGGTGGGAAAATAAATGTGTGTAGCAAATTTTCAGGAAAATTTTATGGTTTATCTCTCCTAGTTTAAAATTAGTTCACGAATGAGTACTGGTGAAGGGAAAGGTGTTTGATCATTGTATGACCAAGGCTTAAACCTGAAAGCTTAGTAACTTTTCCCACAGTAATTCAATAAATAAATATAAAAAGAAAAAAAATAAAAATAAAATTAAGGTGGAGTTCATGCCCAATTCAATCAGCTAATCAGTGGCTGAATAAATAGCAGTACTCTGACAAAAAATAAATAAATAAATAAATAAAATTAATTTAGTTCGATGTGGAAAAAATAAATAAATAAATAAATAAATAAAATTAGTTCATGGAGTTGAGGGTGTGATGGGAGGGGACAACACTGGTGCTGGAAAATGTACACTGGTGGAGGGATGAGTGTTGGAACACTGTATGACTGAAATCCAATCATGAACAGCTTTGTAATTGTCTATATACAATAATTCAATAAAAGGGTTAGATAATAATAATAAAATTAGTTCACAATTCGGTACTAAAATATTCCACTTCACACGCTTGTTTTTTTTTCTTTCTTTTCTTCCTCCCTTCTTTTCTTTTCTCTTTCATTTCCAGCTTAGTTTCATTCATTCAGACAGGTACAGCCAAACCCAGTTCAATCTCCAGTACTGCATATGGTCCCCTGAATAAAGAACCAGG